ATTACGCTTTTATAATTATTAGTTGTAAAAYGGTCACCAGGCAATATTATCGCTTATCGCAATAATTTTTCAGACAATCAATCGCCCAGCAAAATTTGTTATCGTGACAGGCCTACTACTTATGTGCAACTATTTAATAGTTTTTATGTAACAACTGTGAACTTATGCATAATTACYTGTAGCGTAACTGCAACTTGTGGATGTTCTCACATGTCAGAGGGCAGGCATGAGTCCTGTCTGTGTGTCATTTAAAGCCCAGAGTCTGAAGTAGTTCGGCTCTGTGAGAGCAGAAACCTTAATGTGCTTCCACTCACCATTTCTATGACCTTTTCTGCTTCCTTCACGTTCTCAATATCAAAGTGACCGGCTGGAGCCTCGGCTATCTGCTGAATCAGCTTCTTGTTGGCCTCAGCCATCTGAGGCAGGAAGGTCTGCAGCCGCTCCAGCACTGATGCACAGACGAAACAAACAGCACATCTATAAATCTGTCCTGAGCTTAAATCAAGGTGAAACAACATGAAGTCTCACCGCTGCTTCTCGGGACCCTCTCTGTCTGCAAGGCTTTGGTGGTCTTTGGTTTGAGGAGCAGCTTCTCACAGACACCTGGCAGCACAGGAAACAAACACAATTTAATCAGGGTCATTAGTGGAAACATTATATCTCTACACACCAGGGTTTTTTTTTTTTTTTCATCTAATAAGAGTGGAAGTCCTTAAAACAAAGCTGTAAGGACTTTTATCAAATGAAGCTACAGAGTTTCAGGATCTGATTTATTAAGACAGCACAAAATAATCAAGGTAGGGGAAATGGTTTCTAAATAAAATAAACTGTTTTCATAGAGCGAATTTTAAAGTCGCATCTGTGAGGACAGCTGTGAAAAAGCATGAGTTTTACAGCTAACTCGTTTCATTTCTTCAGTTCAACTCACTTAGCTAAGTTTAGTTAGTTATTTTTAACTAATACTAAAAAATATAATGAAAAAAACTGTCAAACCTTGTCCGTTGCCGCATAATAGTAGCGACTGTGAAGTTGTTTTKGGTGAGTTTATGTCCATTCTGGAAAGTCACGTTTCTGTTTTCCTTCACAGGAAGTTACAAACTTCTTCTTCTTCTTGTTGAATGACGGCACACAAAACCAAAACAAGATGCAATACCGCCACCTACCGGAAAATGTGAGGCAGGCACTCACTGAACAGAGAAAAGTACTGTAAACAATTAAAAATAACTAATGTTACACTGACGGCTCCAATAACTASTTAAAAATCGTAATACGAGATCAAACGTTGCTTTACATTGATTTACGTTTATAAATCCCAACTCAGACGTCTGACTAAAAAATGACGCAATGATAGTACTGTTTCTTCCTACTTTGATCATTTTTTACGTCAAAATGAATTTTTTTCCCCAAAAATCTTTATCTAAAAGTTCTCAGTACACAACAAAAAATGTATCAATTTTTGCAATAAACAATTACATTCAAAAGTATCGATTTATAACACAATTAACAGTAAAAAAAAAGAAAAAAAAGAAAAAGAACACAAATAACAAGGGCCAGCATCGTGTAGCTAATGTTTAAATTTGAAAAAGGGTTTMATCGAGAAAATTTAAACTATCCACAAAGGAAATAAATTTACCTGCGTTGTTTTCTTTTACAAACTTTAAAGATTTTGCATAAGATTCTAAAATCATTGTGTAAATTAGCTAAAAAATAATCAAACTATATTAATTACTACCGCAAACAATAAATGTTCCAGATGTGATTGCCTTTGAGGTGAGAGCAGGTAGTTGAATCTTTTTGGATTTGATCCAGATCTAAATATGCAGTCATAAAAAGAGAGACAGGACTGCATTGTCCTGTGTCTATTTTACATTTTATCTTAGAAATTCGTTAGTATGGTATATTGTATTTATGATTTTAAACTGAATTTATTTTTGCTTTAGGTGGGATTGGATTGGAAGTGACAAATATTCAGTTTGAACCTATTTTGATAACTCGATGATTTTCCTACTGCTCGGTCTTGCGCATGCGCACTAAAGTCAAAACACGTGGAACTTGTGTGACAAAATATCGTAAGAGGTCTCACTCTCACACTTTTTTGGSGATACCCACTGACAATAGTTTCTAATAATAAAACTACATTCGCAATGTAAAGCGAGATACGACTTTGTTTTATGTACTTTGTGACTGTATATGTACAGTGTACTACTATATCAATAAAGCAAAACATTCATCACAATGTCGAAAGTGTATATATTGTTAATTGGTTGCAAATTATCTAATGTGATTWTCTATTTACAATGAATTATTCCGTGTTCAGTATATGGTATGTCTCGATGCATCTCAGTAATCCAGGTAAAAAATCAAAAAGAAAAAAAATTGTATAGGTCTTCTGGACGGGTTCTTCTC